TTGTAATAAGTGAATACGTTCGTTGACTTAAGACATAACAGATAAGACACTCTTTTTCGCCACCTGCTGGCGTATTTATGTAATATGAACAAATGGTCAGTGAACAAATCATTTTGGTGAACGAACTGAAAATGAACGAATCTCTTGAAAGAATCAAAATTTCCATCACTACAAAAAACCAACAGGCTCGGTCACCATTCGTTATCGATACAATTTTTTAATGTATGATATTGTTTTGCATCCAATCATATTCCTCTACTATCATAAAACTTAAATCTGCTTTTAAACAAAATATCAGTCTCCGTAAAGACCGTCAAAAATTGCCAGTGCCGACTATATTTCAAGTCGTCACGGCGGGGTATTGGGTAAAGTTTTCAATTAGCAATAATCGCGCCTCGGATAAACCTCATAGGCTACGATACTGCCACTGCGCAAAGCTGATGTCTCATCGTCCAAAGAGGGGAAGTTACCAAACAACACACCAGTTTCCTCGATGGTAAGCGTACTTACTATTCCCTCTCCTATAGATAGGATCACTGCGAAGGTGGATATGCAATCGAAACGCTGCAGTAGAAGTACGTCGTGAAAAACATGCGTTTTTATGTACGTTTTAAACAGAAATACTCCTGGTTAACCCCACGCAGTGCATGCTGGGATATGCAGCCGTTTTTAAGTATACTCAGAACAAAGTGCAACAAATCCTTTACAAGCGTCATTTTATTTATTAAAAAAAAAAAAAAGACAGACACGCAAATAAAAGTCAATTTTCTCTGCAGTCAGTGCCAGTGCAATGCAGTGAGTCCTTGTTTCTTTTTCACATCTATTGTGTGCAGCCCGCTGTTAATGTCAGAACTACAAGTGGCCACCAGATGGCGGTATTTATTTTAAAATAATTATCTCAACTTGACTATACTTAACTACGCGTGATTAAAAATGTGTAAATATGTGGGCTAAATTTACAATATAATAAATAATACGCATTAAAATACGAATTAAAATCAAATTCGCCAGTATAATTGGACAAATTACCTTAAAGAGTTGCTGCAGATGATGATGATTCATTAGCTTGTCACATCACGTCTACCTACATAAAATGTTGCACAATATAAAACTCGGCCTTTAAACGTAGCCGTATGTCTTCATATCGTGGAATTATTCTAACAATATTATTCGGAATGTAATCTTATTTAAACGGTTCAGAGCGCTAACTTCCGGGCCATTGACTAACTTATCCAGTTCTTAATTATACACAGCACATACATAGGCTACACAACACACACATACAAGCTAATGCAAATAACATCAACAATCGTGTGACGTTTACCTGCCTGACTCTCAGATAATAAACGTTGGAGATGTTCTTGCTAGTCGCAATGAAACTTGGAGGAAAGTTTACTGCTTAGGTCTGTAGTTGCACAACAAACCACCAGAGGTCGCCACGAGCACTTTATCAGCATCACAATCACACAATCACAATTTATGATTTTTATTTGCTTTATTTGCTATAATTATTTCTTGGATCATTTAAGCTTTATTAAAGGGGTCATATGATGCTTTTTTAAAGATAATTATTTTGTGTATTTGGTGTAACAGAACAAGGGTGTAACTTTGGTTTGAGAAGTGGGGGGGACACAAAATGGGGGAAAATGTTTTCGATTTGAATCCCATTTCCTGCATGTACATACATTTAGGGACTAATTTATAGAGTTAATTGAAATAAAAGTCCCAGAGCTTTATTGAGCACATATGCCATTTATTACAGATCAAATGAAAAAATAAATGTTGTTTAATTAAATGTGAAACATTGTCATTATCCATAGTACACTGCATTTAAGTACAGAGTCATACGGGACAAGTCGTGCTGAAACAGAAGTACACTTAAAAATAAAGGTTCTTTATTGGCATTGATGGTTACATGAAGAACCTTTAATATCCACAGAAACTTTCCATTCCACAAAAGGTTCTTTATAGAAGAAAAAGGTTCTTTAGATATTTAAAATGGGAAAAAAATACATCCAAGTGTAATGTAAAAAAAAAAAAAACTTTCATACATCACCAGAGAGAAGTCTAATATTCAGTCATGACATTTGAAAATTACAAAAATAAAAATAAAGATAAATTGTTCACAATAAGATCTGTAATATGCTTTTAGAAGCCAGATAGGAAATTTCTGTTTCATGTCGACTAATGTGCCTAATTATTTGTGGACCTCTTAGGAATTACACATCATTTGAAGATCATTATTTGAGCCTGGTTTCTCCATTTCTGTCACAGATGGAGTTTGGGTTCCTTGCCACTGTCACTTTTGAATCAGTGATGAACTGACTATCACTGAAAAATTGACTGTTTACTATTGTACTCTTGCATTGTTGACACACTATTTTCCTGTTTAACACTGTAAAGCTGCTTTGCCACAATCTGTATTGTATAAAGCAGTATAGAAATAAAGGTGACTTGACTTGATCAACAGTCATACAGGAAACCATCTGTTATAATCAGAATCAGGGCCCTGTCCCAAGTGGCACACTTCTTGTGAACATGTGGTCTTGTGAACTTACAATGGTCTCTGCACACACAAGTCCACAAGACTGTAGGACAATGTTTCCCAATCCTGTCCCTGGAGACATACCAACACTATACATTTTTTAACTCTACCTAATCAAACACCTGCATTAACTCACCAGATCATTAGTAGAGACTCCAAGACCTGAAATGGATGGGGCAGATAAGGGAGACATCCAAAATGTGTACTGTTGGTGTGCCTCCAGGAACAGGGTTGGGAAACACTGCTGTAGGGTGTCCCATTCATTATTTTAAATTTCAGAAGATTGCTGGCTAGCACCCCCTTTGCTGCACAATGCCTTTTCGATGCACACTTTTGCTGAGTGGTCTTAGAAGAAGACCACAAGGGCTTAGGGTCTCATTTGCGACAGGGCCTAGTAATCCTAAAGACCTTGATTCGCTTGTTCTGATGTGTTTTATTAAGGTTAGAGTTAAACTCGGCAGGAAAGTGGATTTCGAGGGCCAGAGTTGCCCAGTATGGGAATGATAAAAACAGAGGAAAAGAGCTTGACAAGGACCTAGAGAAAGACAAGGACTTAAAGACAGGTAAAAAGTCGCTAACCAGGACTTTTGTCATGTGACTGCAAGATCTGGTCCACTCTCAGAGGTGAGGAACTACACTCTGGGCAAAGCGAGAGCGGAATTGTTGTGGTGCATAGAGTTGCCCTTGCACACAGAGTTATTCCGGCACATGGAGTTCCTCTTGCGCAAAGAGTTCTGGTGCAACAACTCGCTCTTCTTGAGCGTCTGGATCAGGATGGAGGGTCCTCGTCCAGCTTGCGGGTGCTGCAGCAAGGGGTGGCCACCTTAACCATGTTCCCAAACTTTGAGTAGTCCACCGAGTAGCTTGTTCTGGTGTGTTTTATTAGGGCTGGAGCTAAACTCTGCAGAAAAGTGGATCTCGTGTGCCAGAGTTGCCAAGGATAGGAACGATCAAAAAACAGAGGAAACCATAGAAAAGAGCATGACAAGGACCTAGAGAAAGACAGATGAAAATCACTAACCAGGCCTTTTGTCATGTGACTGCTAGATTTGGTCCACCCTCAGGGGTGAGGAACTGCACTTTGGGTACGGCGAGGGCGGAATTGTTGCGCCGCATGGAGTT